CTTGTTGAAGTCTTCCATTTATATCATAGAACCAATATTTGCAACATTAGTCAGTCCTACTTATAAACAGGGAAGATAAGATTTCTGAGGACTGTTGAAATGTTATGTATGCTTTAAAGAGGAAACAGTCATTATTGTGCTAATATTTCCTTTAATCATTAAACCCTAGGCACAATGACCCTATTTTAGAGTTAACTTTTTTATTTTTATTTTTTTAAAACTGTGCTTTAAGTGAAAGTTTATAGCTCAAGTTAGTTTCTCATACAAAAATTTATACACACATTGTTATGTGACCCTAATTTCTCTCTCTGAGTGACAGCACACTCCTGCTTTCCACCCTGGATTTTCCGTGTCCATTCAACCAGCTTCTGACCCTCTCTGCCTTCTCATCTCGCCTCTGGACAGGAGCTACCCATTTAGTCTCATGTAGCTACTTGAACTAAAAAGCACACTCTTCATGAGTATCATTTTATGTCTTATAGTTCAGTCTAATCCTTGTCTGAAGAGTTGGCTTCGGGAATGGTTTTAGTTCTGGGTTGACAGAGAGTCTGGGGGTCATGCTTTCTGGGGTTCCTTCAGTCTCAGTCAGACCATTAAGTCTGATCTTTTTACTAGAATTTGAGTTCTGCACCCACTTTTCTTCTGCTCCATCAGGGACTCTTTGTTGTGTTCTCTCTCAGGGAGGTCACAATGACCCTATTTTAATTCCTTAAATGTTTTTTCCTACTTCTAAGACTTCACACATTTTTCTGCCTGGAATATTCTTCTCCACTCTTGTCACCCTTGTGCTAGGATTTCCTGTCATTTCCCAGACCTGACCTTTCTCATACAGGCCTTTCCTAACCAATCGAAAGTCCATCTACTTTTCCTAATTGCCCCTTGCGATTTTTCCATCATAGCACTTATCACATTTTATAATTATATGTTAATTTTTATGTTTACTTATTTAATTTCTATTTCACCTACTAGATTGTAAACTCAGTGAGTACAGGTATCATGTCATTTTTTTTTTAACTTCTTCGAAAGTATCATTTAGCACAGTGTCATGCACAGGGTAGATTAGCAACAAATATGTCAAATAAAGGAGTACTTTTATAATCTATACCTATGTGATAGTCACTAGCCACATGAGGCTATTTAAATTTAAATTAATTAAAATTAAATAAAATTTAAAATTCCTGTCACACTAGCCATATTTCAATTGTTCATTAGCCATATGAATATGAAATTGGATAGAGTAGATATGGAACATTTCCATCATCGAAGAAAGTTCTAATAGACAGTGCTGGTCTAGACTAAGCAATTAATAAAACAGGCAATAAGTTAAGGATTTTTTAGAAATTGACGCTTAGATTCTATTTCAGAAATATCTCTTTAACTCATCCTTATCTCTTCATCATTGTTGTCTTCAAGGAACCACCTAACGAGTCTCCCACTCACAAATATTTCTCCATCCAGGTACATTCTCAAAATTGTTGCTAAATATATCTATCAAGTCACTTCTCTGCCTAAAATATTTTATCACTCCTCATTCCATCAGGATAGAGCTCATACTCCTGAACATGGAACACAAGACTTCTTACTATCTTACCACTCCAATCTCAGGTGATATTCATCCCCATACACAGTCCTTGCTTCAGTTACAAAAAGATTTCACTGTTCTGTGAACAAAATGTACCCTGTCACAATGCTGCTTGAAATGCCTGTTCTTTCCCTTTACTTATCATAGTCCTAAGCCTCCTGTAAGGAGCTGGTGGTGCAATGGTTAAGCGCTCAGTTGCTAATCGAAAGGTTGGCAATTGGAATCCATCAGTGGTTCCATGGGAAAAAAGAGCTGGTGATCTGCTCCCGTAAAGATTTACAACCTAGGAAACCCTCTGGGGCAGTTCTACTCTGTCATATATGGTCACTATGAGTGGGAACTGACTTAAGCGTACACAACAACTCCTCCTGTAGTACTCAGTTCAAGCACCATTTTCTTTATAAAACATTTTCAATCTTCACTGAATACTCAGAGTTCTCAGCTCCCACCTCCATGACATTATATTGTGATTACCTGTTTATATGTCTGTTACCCTTACTGTTCTAGGTGTAGAGTGTTTTACTTACCTCCCAGTGTCTAGTGTAGTGCCTATCATACAAAAATCATCTTATATTTTGTTGTTGTTTTTGAAATAATGAAAAAATAAAATAATGAATGAATGGGTTAAAAAACTGTAAACATCCACCTTTTTTAAAAAACAATCCTTTAGTCATTTTTTGTGTGTAATTTTGCCTATTTTCAAAACCTCCTACCCATCAATCACTACATCCCACTCAGTAATATCTTTGGTGGTCAATAAAACAATATTTACTTTGGTTTAATAGCTGAAGAGTAAGAAACTCTTAAATTATAAAGTTTTTCATGTGTGACAAAGTTATCAGGGGAAAAAATGAAATAAACAACAATAATAAAAATAACAACAAATTTCAAACATTTCCAAATAGGTACTGTGAGGATATCCCAGTACAACAAAAAGTATCCAAGACTCTAATGTTACTGAAAAGTTTTTTAAGCTCAGTAAAGTGTACAGTTTGCTCTTAATTCTCTCTGTGTAACAAAATCTCTTCCTTCTTAGATCATTGCTTATTCTTGATTGCTTATATCTATCAAACACAATTTCGCTTCATAGTATAGACATGCGTTCTGTTATTACCTGTTGAAAATAGAAAAGCAATACTATAATGACCCTATGGTGTTAAAACAAGAAACATCAGAGAAGAATAATAAGTTCAACATAGTGTCAGAAGAAACTTTTTCATGTGAAAATAATATATAAAAGAAACAATGATGATGCTGTCACTGACTTTTAATTAAACTTGTTATTGTTTTGTAGGACATATCTATCATTTTTTCTTTTTTTTAATTTCAAGACATTTTTAATGTTGACAGTGAATCTCCACTTGGCAGTGCTCATGTGTTTGCCATGATCTAATCCTAAATTATTAAGTAAAAGTTAAAAATATGAGCAGGGTGTGTTGTAAATAAGAAATTGTGAATAAAGCATTTAAAACCAAGTATTGTAAATATGTAAACAATGGATCATATTTATAGTGAGAAATTCTGAAGATGGTGCTTACTTAAGACAGTGATTGAGTAAAGAGATACATTAACAAGCACTAACAAGAGAAGAACCTCTATTTTATCCTTTTTTTTTTTAAAGTAAATTCATCCATCACATGTCCTTATCTGATGTTGCAATGTGTTAGTTTTTTATCCAAGGACAATAGCACGACAAAATCTTGCTGTGTGGCCTCAGAGCTTTTTGTGGTGAGAAGACTCATTTATTACAACTCTTTCTGCCTTTTCAGTTGAATAGGAGTTTGTTACAACTTTATATAATATGCCTTATGAGATGCTCATATAGACTATATTACACCTTTAAAATAAAAATTTACAAATGGAGCAATAAAATTTTCTTTATTTCTTCCCCTCTAAGATAACCTTCAGTATATTTATACTAAGCTAAAAACATTACATTGCTATGTCAATTGCATAAAATGCATTAGAACTATCAAGAAGTATTGAACTAGCTCACGAAACAAACAATTGTTACATATGTTTATCTGAAACTGACTCTTGAAATACATTTAATTGATTATAAATCTCTTATGACATATTTAATGTAGCTCATTTAGGCAAAGTTTGTCAATCCAGAGCACAGCTTTTCAGGGTCAGCCTACTGTTGTTATAAGGCATGCTTCAGTACACTAACACACTACGACCACTCCAAGCAACAGCCATTCATCTCCAGGCAAGAGGCTTCAAGAGAAATTACTGTGAATTCTTAGACTCTGAAAGAGTAAGGATGCTTTTAGAGGACTTGTCCCCTGGGGGTGAAGGGATCAGTGGGAGACAGCATTATTGGCCAGGATAGTAGGTAAAGAATGATCTGGGCTCAGAAGTTGGCCTCATTGAAAGGCCATGTTTTCATTAGCACTCCTAAGTGCAATGATGGTTTATATTTCTGCCCTTGAAAGTGTTCAGAAGCCTGAAGGCACAAATTGAGACAAAAAAGAAATAGGCTTAGATGGAAGAATATGAAAAGTTTGTACAAGACCAGAGAAAGCTTCCCACTGAGAGTATTTATTAAGTTAACAGCTCTTCCTCTTGTTAACTAAGTTTACACTGAAGGTGTAAAAAGTTATTTTGGTAAAGATAAATCCAACTAAGAAAATTCAGAACAATACAATGAAATCAAAAGTATAATTCTAGTAGCGTTATTACTCTGTAAAGTTTGTATTCACTCAAATTAGAACCTTTATTGCATAAAGTGGAAAGAAGTGTCTAATAGAGTCTCTCTGCCTATAATATATATAAACTATTACTAGTAAAACAATTGCAATGTTGTTCAAAATAAATGTTTTGCATTTTGGTTCATGTATTTGTTTCTTACTATCCCATTTTTTCTCAGAATCTAACCTAGATTAATGGTCTAGAAAATATTTATTATAGTAATAATATAAACATTTTCTACTTATTTTATCCATGTAAAGACATATATTTTTACACGTGATGTATGCTTTGATAAAAATACTGAATATAATTATTTTAGTGTTTAAGCTACTATAGTAATTGTGTTACATTACCCTCAATTTTATAGTAAGTTTATTTAACAGTATATAAAAACTTTTCAGCCCTCTGCATCAGGACAATGCAGTGGTCTTACTGGGAATAACAATAACCTGGAAAGACACAGCCTATTAATAAAAGAAGGAAGCTGCAAAAGAGGTCTAACACACATGCAGACAGGAGTTCAGGCCCTGGAAAAATGTGCCATAATATTTGAAAAACTTGAATCTTTTTTTTTACTTTTGAATTTCAAAAAAATTACTACATGTAGGATAGTCTGACTTTACCCTACCAGTTTGTGAATAATCAACATTAACTTTTACTTTGACATTACATGGTTGTTTCATATGTATATATTTTTGCCTTAAATAAAGTAAACATATCTTACCTTACAAACTCTTCCAACTCGAGAAAGGATGGTCTTATCAGAAGTACTGCCTTCTTGAGATGATTCACGGAAGAAGAAATATATTTTATCATCATCTGGATTGTAAGTATCTGGTATGGGGAAAGTTCCAATAAATTTTGCTCCTGTTTAAGAGAAAATAAGGTATAAATTAAAATACTGAAATAATTCAGCCACTATAGTCTTAAATGTGTTTTGTATGTAAAACAATTAGTAGCAAGATTAAAAAAAAAAACCATGAGTTGAACATGGGAAATAAAATGTGTACACAAATAAACATGGCACAATATAGAAATATGTATTATCATAAAGAGGTCCTGATAAGTTCTCCAGGAACTCTAGAGTGTAGGTGACTTCCCACATTACTGCCTGACAGCCACAATTTCTACAACTCAACTAAATTACCTAAGAAGTCTCTTCAAACCTGGACGTTTATGATTTTATAATTTCCTGATATATGATGATGTCATTGATTTTTAGCCACAGTGTCTTTTCTGAGGAGCTTAGGAAAAACTACAAATAGATCTGAAACTTTGATATACTATAATGTTCTTTGATATATTTTGTGTAATAGCCAAAGGGAGGGAATGGAAACAATCATCTGTGCTTTGGTTGATTCCAGTATAGGCTCTGCAGGCAGTCTCCCTGGGTTTATAACCTGGCTCTGTCACTTAAATGGAAAGGTTACCTTAGGCAATGAGGTGGGAAGTGAAAAAGATCAACATTGCCTTCTCTCGAGTTTTGCCCAGGACTCTGGTTGCTGTGTACTCCTGCAAACATACAGCAAGTGGTCAACAGCCCAGTAAAGAAGGCTTCACAACAGCCTTCAATTGACAAAAGTTCACGTTGGATTTCAAGGGGTGGGTTGGTTGAGTCTCTATCATCCTGGCCTCACTGTGTCTCCCACCCAATCTCTTCCATGCTGAAAAGAGAAGGTATAAGTGGAAAAGAGAGAGGGGGAAAATGTGCATGAACTTTCTGCCCTTGTTCTTTATTACTTCCCTGATCTTTTCCTGGAAACTCTAGGACTCTTGTATTCCTGCTAATCTCACTTTGTTAACAGACATGATCCTAGGAATTTACATAAAAATTAAATTTTAGGAAATTACAGAAAATGTTTTTAACTTTAATTTTTTAATTAATATTAAAATTGGCAAGATCCATTAATAATTCCACTCTAGGTTTTTTGTTTGGTTTTCTTACCAGCCTCTCTTCCAAATTATTGATAAACCACAAAAACACTTGGTTTCAAATTCCTGATCAAAGTAAAAATCCTTTTATAAGCCAAAAATTTAACACTTCTAAATTGTAATTAAAATATATTATATTATGATCTCTTAAAAAATAATACTTTTGTGGAAATAAATTTTCCTACAAATGTGGTATTAGGATTTCATCAAATTCATGAAAACACATTAATATTTATTGAATTACTACCCTATTCAACGTATTTAGAGCAAGAAAAACTTCTAGAATCAATGAATACAAAAAATGAATAAGGACTGACTCTTTACATCAAACTCATTACAATATGGATTAAAGAAATATTGACACATGTTCAAAATGTGACTAAGGAGAAAGCCTAGCCTTGATGTTGCCAATGGCTTGAAAAGAGATTGCAACAATGAACAGAGAAATGGACAACTAATTGTGGGTTCCCACAGAAAAGACCAATTCTACATAGACCAGGAGTTAAAAATAATCTACAGAATTTATGGAACATACAGATGACCAAACCCAACGCCACCAAACAGAATGAAAATCCCCAGGTGTGCTGGCATGTGTATTTTAAACACATATAAATATATAAATAAATAAAACTGTATAGGTGATTCTGATAAGCATCTAAGTTTAAGAACCATTGACATAGACTACCATTTCATATATTGGAAAAGGGATATAGAAAGGTTTCATTAATTCAGGTCAATAACGAAGCAGAATGGATGGACATGTGGAGTGAGAACTAAATAATAAAGTCAAAATCTTAAGTAATTAGTTGGGAAACAAAAGCATGAAACAGAAATTACAGGAATACTTGGCTTACTTACATTGACAAATACGTGAGCTTACAATGAGCATGGACACAAGTAGAATTTATGAGGGTATTTAAATTTGATTGCAAAAGAAGTTACACATGCAACATGATGGCCCTTGTAATGTTCGTTTCCATCAGAACTACAAAATGATTGAGTTGAATTTATCCTTTAAAAAGTAACAAAATGGTACAAAGTTTACACAATATTTTCTCTTCAGAGAGAATCTGAGATCTCAGTAAACCGAAGCAAAAAAGCATCACACTAAAAAGAATCCCAATGTGAGGCAGAGAGTTGTTTGGAAGGGATAAAACCCTGCCCTCTGACATCTAGACGGAAGATGTGATGATATGAGGTGATAGTTTGGTCTTTAGTTTACAGAATTTAACAAAATAAACATAATTATAAAACAAAGCGGAACATACAAGGTCAGAAAGGAGTACAAATAAATATGGCAATCCATCGCCATATTGCATAAGTACACAGGACAACCCACTTTGGTTACATAAAACATTAGCCAGGTGTTGCCAGATATTGGCATTTGAAATGGTCAAAGATAGAGTATGATACTAGCTCACATTTTAGGAATTTCATCATCATCACTGCAACAAGGGAAAAGAGACTAGATAATTGTCCAAAATTTAGCAGCCGTAGCTCTTAACCACTGCACCACCAGGGCTCCATGCTATATATTAGTTCAAAGTAAAATAAATAGCACTTGGAAAAGTATAGATGATCTTGTTGTGCTTATTCCATTACTGTTTATTTTACTGAACTCTCTTTTGAATGCTGGTTATTTTTTCAAGCACTGTATGAAAGTTGCTTTGGAAAGGAATGGTGCAGGTGTTTAAGCTAAAAATTTATACTATGAAGAAATCGAATCATGAAGAAAGAGTTAGTATTAAATAGTACCCTATTCTGTGATTTAAATAATAGGTATGTTTATAAGTTAAAAATAAATACAACCTTAAAAAATAGAGAGTTTCTTTCTTGCAGATTCTATTGAAGTCCTTTCTTGGAACATTCATTTTAGCACTTTATGAAGAAACTCTTTCTTGACTTGCTGCCAAGTTTGGGTAAAAGTAGGTATCATTTAATCAGTGTATGACATGAATGGTTGCTGAACTAAATCATTTAAAATCATACCAATAGACACCTGGGCTTTATTATAGCACGTTTTTCCCCTTAGGCATTTGAAAAACATGCCCTAATGGGGGTGGAGTTTGAAATCATGCATTTGCACAAATGGACCTCTAGCATGACATCAAGAGACATTGCCAAAAATAGCATAAATCCGTGTGGCCTGAAGGGTACATCACTTTCATTTCTCTCCATGAACTTTTTACACCTAGATAAGCACACCTCCACCATAATTTAACAGATAGTGAGTTTCTAACTTCCTTTTCTTTGTTCTTGTAATATCTTTTTTGTACAATTTTTTAAAAAAAATTTTATCCTTTCATGTGGAAGGAGAATTTATAGACAACAGAGCACCACAAGAAAAACTTTAAATGAAAACTGCCTCCATATAAAATAAAATACAAATAAAATAAAATAAAAAATAAAAAAAAAATAAAAATTTAAAACAAAAGTTCTCAGCTACTCCAGGAAAGAAAACAAAAACATACGCATCCAAGGCATCGTTGTTTGTTTTCATTTTCCAAATGGTCATATATCTTAATTTTATCCTGAAATTCCAACACAAACGGGGTTTGTGTAACACCCTGACTTCCATCTATAGTCTTGATTCCTGATAAATCCTAAGATTAAGAGTAAATTGATAAAGAAAAGTGTAGAAGCATCTAAGTCTTCATCTAGAACTGCCCATGGTGCTTCATCTTTGCAATTTTTCATCCACCTGGTGAGGTATTTAATAGGTGAATAAGTTTCTCAGAGACAGTCTAAGGATTCACACTTCTTAAATCTTTTGAAACGGGATTAGACAAAGTCCTTGAGAATTTCTGATAAGAAGTCTTACACTGAAATTGTATATATATATAAAAAAAAGAATTCTTACACGGGTCATTGCAGAGGTTAGCCGATCTTATTCTGGTTAATCCTAGGTAGAGCACAGAACCCAATATGACATTCACACAAGCATAAAGGATTTTAAACCTCTTAAGTGGTCAGTGACAAAAATGGACTTAAAAAGATGTATACAGCATCATATTTAAAATGTAAGGTTAATTCTATACTAATTACAAATTTAATTTTTATATTTCAAATAATCTAAATATAACATTAATAAAATTTTGCTAAAGATCATTCAAAGCTGCTCTGTTGTCTATAAATTCTCCTTCAACATGAAAGGATAAAAAATTTTTTTAAAAACGTACAAAAAGAATATTATATGAAGATAGAAATGGAAGTTAGAAAGTCACTATCTATTAAATTATGGTGTAGGTGTGCCTGACCCAAGCCATGGTGTTTTCAATTGCCTCATATGAATGTCAAAGCTGGACAATGAATAAGGAAGACTGAAGAAGAATTGATGCTTTGAATTATGGTGTTGGCGATGAATATTGAATATACCATGGACTGCCAGAAAAACAAACAAATCTGTCTTGTAAGAAGTACAGCCAGAATGCCCCCTGGAAGCAAGGATAGTGACCATTTCTCTCATGTACTTCGGACATGTTATCAGGAGGGATCAGTCCCTGGAAAAGGACATCATGATTGGTAGAGGGTCTGTGAAAAAGAGGAAGACTCTCAATGAGATGGATTGACAAAGTGGCTGCAAAAGTGGACTCAAACACAGTAATGTTTGTGAGCATGGCACAGGACCAAGCAGTGTTTCATTCTGTTGTACATACGGTTGCTATGAGTCAGAACCGACTAGACGACACCCAACAACAACAAACATAACATTACCTTTGCAAGAGTTTCATTCATCAGACATTTGACATTGTTGTTATTAGCTGTCATCAGGTCAATTCCAACTCATGGTGGGTAACCCCATGTGTGCTCCATGGGGTTTTCAAGGCTGTGACCTTTTGGTAGCAGATCACCAGGCCTGTATTCTGATGCGCTGCTGGGTGGGCTCTAACCACCACCCTTTCAGCTAGTAATTGAGCACTTAACCATTTGCGTGA